TCTGGAGAACATCTGTAATATGGAAAACAAGTAGAGAAAAACTGTTACTTAAACATGCACTTAAGTATTTCTGAGTAATCTCAGCAAGCCCAAGGGTGCAATCTCCATTAAAACCCCCTGTTGCTCTTTATTAGGTGCATCCTAATACAGACGGAGCCGTATTGGAGAATATGTGACTTTCTCACACTAACTGAACTCCATATGGAAAACCTCTATTTTTACTTTTGAATCTGACTTTAAAGTTTATTTCTCTTTAAACGCTCATCCCACCCCACCCAGCCCAAGCTTTGAGCCATCTCGTATTGCTCGATAATTTCAGCGCCCTTTAGGGAAAAGGTAGACAGTGTATATTGATTGATTTGGGCTGGATATACGCTAAAATAAACAGATATCTTGTTCCAAAGATCAAATTCTTCACCAACTCTGGCAGCATTAACAAATGCAACTGAGACTGGGCCCAAAACACAGGCACGGGATAATTAGTCACACCAAGCTTGGAGTGGGAAGGGCAGGGAAGCAATCCGACTGAAGGATGTATTGATCCTCCTGAGAGGGAGGGGAACCCAGTCAAGAGTCATGATCAATCTTGCAAGCCAGCTCTCTCAATCTGTGATGAAACCTGTGTGTGTGTTTGTATGGGGAAGCATTCTATCGACACAATACACACTCTAAATACACATGTTGGTGTGTGTGTGTGTGTGTGTGTGTGTGTGCAGCCACATTAACACTACCAACAGCTTGGTGTATGACTTGTCAGAAAGAGACAAATGTCTGTGTGAGTAAAAGACTCCCAGAGGTTAGAGGAGGAGATTTAGCGGTACCACAACATCGGAAGCCTTTATCGTCAAGTTAAAAGTCATCCCTTAGCTGGAGATTCTCCTCATCAAACCATGCCACACTGAGGAGTCTCGAAATTGGCTCAGGGAGTGATAGAAAAGGTAAATCTCCCTAAATATAAGCTGTTTGCATATTGGCGTTATCCAGTGACTGATCACAGGTGGGTTTCATCTGATTAGACAGTGGTGATGCGTATCAGGAGGAGCAGTTGACCAATTGCGCTGTAATTCATCTTTCTCTGATATGCTGGAGGAGGAGGAGGAGAAGGTGGGGTAAGGAGTGCAGTGGGACTGAAGTGGTTAGATTTCAGTGTGGAAGCAAGATATGAGATCAGTGTTTTGTTTTTGTTTTTTTCTTGCATTTTTCAAGCGATTATAAGACCAGAAAAGACAGTGGGTGTATTTGTTTATGGGCTGTGAGAGGTGTAATGATAGTGGCCTCTAGGGTTTGGTGTATGGATCAGATATCAAAGAGCATGCTAGACTGCAGGGACACCCACAGCAGTGAGACTGTAGACAGCTAATTGACAGGCTGCTGGAGATGAAGCCAGTCTAGATAGCCAGTCACTTTCACGCTTCCACACTCCTCGCACTCCACCGGGGGGAAGGCAACTGGCTGCGTGACTGTGTATGAGTGTGCGTTGTCGATGGGTGGGTGCACTGTTAAGGGGTGTGCAGTCTTTGGACCCACTAGGGAAATGGATGTCACTCTCACAGTTATCTTGCACATGTTCACAGCGCATGCACGCGCATGTACACACGCACACAAACAGAATGAAAGCCTGTGCATGGCAGTTGTTTTTCTTCACACTGGCTCAAAAACCACATCTTACACCCCATAGCAGAGACTGACAAGTGGTGTGGCCTTGCACCCTGTGCCCTTGTGCATGCTTCAGCATGTCTCCCTATAGAATCAGAGCTGTACCAGATATGTAGAAGTTCTGGTGACTCATCTCAGTGATTGCACCTCGAAGTCGTTACTGGTATAAAGCCTAAAGGTAAAATTCACACATTACACACTCAAATGCTGCTTCACTCTGTGGGTAAAATAGTCGAGGTTTAAATGTATGCTGCAACTGTGACGTGTTGTTATCAATAACCATTTTGCTCTATTTTCCTTTTGCCCACCGATTCATTTTTCCTTGTGAACATAATATATTAATATTTTTCTTCTAGTCCAACTCTGACTCTCAGTACATTTATTAAGAACAGCTTATAATAATGTTAATAATATCTCTTAGTGAAATTGCTTTGTAGTACTGATTTGCATTAATGTGTTTTAAGACTTCACCCCACTGTGAGAGATAGAAGAGAGGACTGGGGTGAACATCATCTGTGGGTTATCATCTATAAAACACACAATAAGGGCTTCAGTCAGTGTAATGACAGATTGCATGTGGAGAGCTCTTCAGTGTCGTCCCTGTTAACCCAGGTTTTTAGAGATCACCTCGGATGCCACCCCATAGCTATTTAGTTATCTCCATGAATATATGCAGACAGGATCTGTCCTTGCTGAGAGCAAAATCTGATAACGCAGTAGCAAACACAGCTGAGAGTCAGAGCAAACCAAGTGAGAGCTCTGTTTAAAAAAAGCCAAAGGGCTCGCTGCTCATCTCTGCGACAGCACCACACAATAGATGAACAATTGTTCAGAGTTAGACTGGAAGAAAAAATATTAATCTATTTATTCATGGCTTGTTGAATCAGCTTTATCTTCCGTGATTAATCCAAGTCAATAATGCAATCTTTAATTATAAAGAATGGCCTTATTATGTATGTCAAATAATCATGCCTGTCCACGACGCTGGAAAGAGAAAAACAAATTTCACTGCTACGTGATTATGTATTTTCCTGCCATAAATTAGAGCAGCCAGGCAATTTTGTTCTGGCCCAGAAACTTGAACTTTCATTAAACAGTGAATGCAGAGATACCAATTAATAGGTTTCTGGAATAAACTAATAAGTTTGTGATGTAATGAGTATTTTATTTTTAAACAAAACCAAAGACCCTGAGTTTTCACTAAATTTACTTTTCAAAAACAGCTATTAAGAAAATCATAATAAATTAATTAAGAGTGTAATAAAGCAAAATGAAAACCTGAGATCTGCTGTACAGAACATGATCTGCAACAGAAAAGCTACAACATCAGAAAATATCACAAACATATTTCATCAAGCAATTTTTCCAAAGAGCCCCACGTCCATTCGGCATCACCAAAATAAAACATCTGGAGCCCCTGGAATGATCAGTCAAAAGAAAACTCATTACAAGAAGCCGATCCTGAAGGAGAGAGAAGGAAGAATAATGGCCGACACACACAGACTTTTGTATGTGTGGGTTTGTATATGCTCGCATGTGATTAATAACACAACTTATAGTAGTGGTTTCCTTGCTGTAACAAATGATCTGCACATTTTTAGTTCCAAAGTACATATTTGTGCAAACAACATCAGATTCATGAACATGTGTGACAGAGCTTCACTTGCACTCTCACACTTTTATTTTCTGATCTCCTGCCTGGTCCTACAACTCCCAGTGCTCCCAGCAGTGTCCCCCCACCAGTACTCAAAGTGAGGCAGCAAGTAGCCTGTAACAAATCTAAGCCCCCCAAAATGCAGATCACATAGCTGACAGAGTGGAAACTGCAGCTTAGGAAACTTTCAACAGGATCTTAGTCTGTGATGAAGTCACTCAGTGTCCAAAAAGAGCTACAGATGTGTCATCCACTGACACAGGACAGACATTTCCTGAATGTCAGTATTGTCTGCCAATTAATGTACTCATGGAGGACTAAGTGTCAAAGTGTCAGAGGACATTGATGTTAAACCTGCTACAAGTAGATTAAAAACTTTTAGTTGTGTTGTTGCTTCAAACTGAATTTCATCAAACTTTCTCTGCTCCCCCGAGGAGTGTGACATTTCCTTTTGCCTGATAGAACAACTGAGAGAATTTTCTTGGAGGGGGATCCTTTTTCATGTCACAAATATTTTATGTCTCTATTTGAGAGGCTGCCTTAAAGACAACAAAGAAAAATAAATACCTTGGGTTACTGTTAGAGAAACTAAATGAGAAGCGGTGAAATGTCATTATGTCTATGGTGTAATTTGCCACATCCGAGGTAATGTAGCGCCGTCCCTGTGATAAGACAGAATCTTTAGGTCTCAGGAAGGTGAGCATATCAATGTTCAGCATACCCTATTAAGACTTGACACCAGCACTTTATCATCACTAAAGCAATTGCATATTCCTATTCCAGCAAAAGAGAAGGGGAAATCCATCTCCTACAAGGACAGTGTCTTTAATAAATAGTGCGCAGAACACAGCCACAAACTCCCCCTCTTTCACCTGATCCCTCTCTCTCTCTCTCTCTCTCTTTCTCTCTCTCTCTCACACACACACACTTTCCCTCACATGGAAATTGTTTCATTCCTTTTAGTCAATCTGGCTAATGTAAAAATCATGTATGACTGTCTTTAAATATTTAATCTTAACATCAGCAAGACTGAAATACAACATTGAAGAGGCACTACTCCTTCCCTCCTGAATGGTACAAGAGCTCAGAGAGAGAAAGGCAGCTGCTCTGCAGTGTCAGATTGAGGGGGGAGCAACAGGGAGAGACAATTTTCAATGGCAATTTTGTTGCCATGCACTCTAAGGTACTGGAGTTAACGGCAGCATTAAAGCCCACTTTGCCTTGTAAAAGTGTACAACCACATATGACAGCTTTCAGCCTTCGTTCCTTGACATAACAGATTCAGGTAAAGGCTGAAACACACGGCTAGAGAGAAAACAGTTGCTGCTGAGAACTTAGTGAAAAGAGATACAGTTCAATGACTGAGCCACAGCTATGAATCTTGCATGCAGACATGTACCATGGGAACCACATAGCCCCTGGTGATGAGTTCAAGCACAAAGAGAATTTCAATTCCTCTTGCCTTAGAGTGATCATTTTCCTTTCATGCCTATCTGTGGTTTTGTACGAACAAGATGAGCCACAAAGTTACAGATGTATGATTTCTCAGAATATTGAGAATGAAAAAAACTTTACTTTTATGAAACTTGTTTTACTGGAGTTTTGATAAGGCTAATAAATCATGATGAAGTAACGTAATATGACACAAGTCAGGTGAATGGCAGAACTTTGAGAAACTTTTTTCACTCACCACAGAGAAGTCCCCGACTGAGCAGTTCTGTCCACTGAAATTGCAGCTCATAAGCATCTCTTCTAATTGATGTCCTGTCCTGTTGAAGATGTCCTGCATGTCAGGGGCAGGATACATTAGATCAGTAGGCTTGTGCCCCTCCCTGTTTTTGGGGGGCAGGCCTGTTAAGTTAGCCAGGTGGTAGATGTCAGCGTCGGTAAGAGCAGAGAAGCGAAAGCGGTTGATGTTGCAGATGGTAACAGCCGGGAAAACCATCTCCGGGGTTGCCTCTTCATTCAGAGCTGTGACATGCGGGTGCTCCAGGTAAGAGATGGCACACTTAGCTGCATGGTAAAGAAACAGTGCCAGTGAAGTCAAAAAGGCAAGAGCCCACAGAGTCTGCCGGATGCCCAGGCGACCAGAAACAAAGATGTGGTTAATCCCATGAAGGGAGCAGGAGTTAGCGAATCCAGCCAAGTCCTTGGCCGGAGGTGTGCAGCTCTCCTCGATCAGGCTCTCCTTGTCCCCATCCTGCTTGCTTTTCTGCTTCTCATCCTCCTCTGCAAATTTGATTTTGCAAACAAATTCGATAGGCATGGGGGCAGCCAGGTCTGCGTTTTGTTTCTGTTTTTGATGGAAGCTTTCAGCCCTGGATCACTTCTCTCCTACTTCCTTGGCTTTTGTCCTCTGAACAGGAAACAACTCCAGAAAGAAGAGAAAAAGAGAGGAGAGAGTTTGCTGCTGCTGCTGCTGCTGCTGCTGCTGCCTGCGCTGTGACTGCTGTTGCTG